TTTGGTGGATCTGACAGAGGTCCATTGAATCTAAGCACAACTAGCAACATACGCTACGATAGATACTCTATAGTCATACTCTACATCTATGAGAAAAAAATTCAAATGCTAAAAAAAGGAAGAATTTTTATAATTTTCTATTTTTCTTGGATTAATGATACAACAGATACTCTACTGTTGAAATTTGTTCCTGAATTCACGTGTTTTAGTTACATTCCATATTTAGATACTCATAATTAGATGTATATGCTTATTATGTATTCGAGATTCATGTTTTTTTTATATAACATATGAAATTTGGATACACATAATTAGATGTATATGCTTCTTCTTTTTGTCTATTACATATTTAGATACATGTTTTTAATATAACTTATAAAATTGATACTTGAAACATCAAATTAATACTGGATACATTAAATTAATATTAGAAACAAATTGATTGAACAACTTCAAACAATACTCTATGGATAAAGAACTCATACTATTTTCGTAATTTTGAGACATTGCTCTATGGATACAACAACACTTCAAACAATGTAATAACCACTATCGAACTTTAGAAAAAGGGAAACTCTAACCCAGATACGTGAAATTGTATAAATTCGACATACATTAGAAAATAATCGAAAACCTAAAAAAAAATCTTACCTCTTGATATATTGCTAATATTCAAAATTTGGTTGTTGATTTAGAACATGCAAGAGATGTTTGAGAAAGAAGTGGCGAAAGTGAATTACATGGGGGTGTGGAGAGATACATACGGTTAATGGGATTGGGGGCCGGGAGGGAAACGGCTGATGTGAGGTGAGAGAAAATAAAATTTGAATTTTTAGTGTCCCATTAATTAAGGAGATTATATTTTAAGATAATTATTCAATATCATATTTAAGAGGGATAAGGGTCTGAAAAATATCCAACTTTGGCAGAAATTGTTGTTATGATACCAAACTTTAATGAGGACCTATTACCCCAAACTATTTAATACCGTATATTTTACTCTCTAAACTATTTAATAGTATATTTTAAAGGTATATATGTGCCCACGTGGACATATTACTATTTATAATTATGCATTATTTTTTATGTCCACTTGGGCACATATATGCCTTTAGAATACACTATTAAATAGTACAGGGGGTAAAAGGTCCTTTCCAAAGTTTGGTATCGTTATTTCGGTCAAAGTTCAGATATATTTCAGACCCTTATTCCTATTTAAGAAATTGTGTATTTAATATAACTTTTTAAAATATATGGCATAATTATTAAAAAGTGGTATTGTGTGTAATATTTTTAAACTAGAGATAAAATATGTATATATGGTAGTAAAGTATGTGTGGTTATGTAGCTCCATCTATATAAGCAGAGATTTCAAGGCCAATAGATTTATCAAATTCAGCATTGATGATGGTACCGATTGCATACCTTGTATACTATGGATCAACCAAGAAATTTCGTGTTACTTCTCCCGTTAGATCTAGGCGCAGTGAGCAACACCGATGAATCAAAAGGCGAAGCAAAAATCGCCGATGTGAGATGCCCTGACCAGCGACGAACGTAATTGAAAATTTCCAATAAGCGGAAATTTACACATGTATTTGACACATTATTGATGTATCTGATGCATTATTAAGATACAATTATATGTATCTAATTTTTTATCAGTGTATCTTATTAAATTTATTAAGTGTGTATGTATCTAATGAATAAATTGGAGATTTGCGTATTATTGAAAATTTACGCATGTATTTGACACAATTTATTTTGTCATGTATTCGAGTCTCGTCATATTTATCTTAATATTATCATATATATATTTGTTATGTTAAAATGTATCTAATTATTTTTGTATTAATCTGAGATACAATGTTTTTGGATATAACGTATGAAATTGATACTTGATACATCAAATTATACATATAAAAGATAGATGAAATAATATTATATCAAAAAATAATAAAATGAAATTAATTAAACATAGATTCACTCCTTGATTTATGTCTTATATTAAGGGATTTAATTAATTGTCCATTTATTATGATAATCATCAATTACTTCTCTAATTAAGGAAGTTTGTTACAACTAATTAATTTAAATAAATAAAATATGTATCTCAATTTTAAAATTCGACAGATATATGTATCTCAGATTGAGATTCATGTATCCTAAGCACGAACTATGATAGAGGAAGTAATATTTGAAACTATTTAGAATCTTAGTAATTAGGACCTAAACTAGAAGGATTTATGTAGTTTGCCCAAATAATAAAACAAATTTTAAAAGGAAAGCAGAAAACATAAGGGGCTTTTTTAGCCCAATACACATTTGGATTGGAATCATTTTAGGAAAAATTACCTAAATGCACAACTTATTTTATCATATTCTTTCTCTAAAATTCTCTATCGTTTGAAAAAATTACAAAAATTATTACTCTCTCCTATTCTCGGATACATCATTCTTACGCGATACATCAAAACGCAATATATCGGAATGCAATGTATTGAGACGTTAAGTGATGTATCGGGATGCAATGTATTGAGACGTTGAACGATGTATCGGGACAGATGTGTCTTATATCAACAAAGTTAATGTTGGGATGCGATGTATCGAACATTGGGTGATGTATTCGAAACTGGGACAAGATGTACCGTGACGTTGATTGATATATTCAAAATCAGGTGCGATGTATCGAAACATTGAATGATGTATCCAAAAAATTTAAATCTTATGAGATTTTTGTAATTTGAATGTAATTAACTCTTAACATAGGAGGTAAAATATCCACTTTTATATGTGAGTTGAAATTTTCTTTACAAAAATTGTCTCTGTTGCCTTCATAAATATATATTTTAAAGCCCCGGTATGGCCATGTGGAATGCTGGGGCTGGATGAAAAAACAATTAAATTTGCCGCCTTAAGATTCTTTTTATGTCCTCGAACTGATTTATAGTTTAATCTCTATAGTCATGAGTAGTGCCTAATGTTGAATAATTAAATTGCGTCTTGCAGCAAGAAACGGAGGATAACGTAATTAAATAGGAAAATGCATAAGTACCCCTCAGCCTATGTCCAAAATCCCTGAGACACACTTAATTTTTATTAAGGTCCTATTATCCCCTCCGAACTTATTTTATATATAATTTTCTACCCCTTTCGGCCTACGTGGCACTATCTTGTGAGCCCAGCGCGTGTTGACAATTTTTTCAAGGATAGTGCCACGTAGGCCAAAAAGGGGTGAAAAATTAATTAAAAAATAAGTTTGAGGGAATAATAAGACCTTAGTAAATGTTAGGTGTGTCTCAGGGATTTTAGGTATAGGCTGGGGTACTTATGCATTTTCCCTAATTAAATTCCTCTTTTTTTTTAAATGCGTAACGATATTCCCCATATATCATTAGTAAACGCAGCGTTGTATAATGAAAGTAATCTAGATATTGATTACTCTAGATTGATTGTTGATTTTATGGTTAAATAAGCAGCAATTCTAAAGTTGACTTAGGAAAAGGGTTGATTATTATTAACGGTCCAATTTTTTCAAGAGGCATATAAAATAACTCCAAAGTAACAAACAAATACAGATTAAGCTATTAGAATCCCTTTAACCAACTTGAGTTATTTGCTATTTCCCTTACTACTAATCTGTGTAATATTATGATGTTAACACCCAAACAAAGCCTTCAAAGTTAAATTTACGAATGTAGTATAACAAAAATTGCTTCCAGGATGTGAAGCATCGCACGAGATAGGTTAGTACAACCTCTATCCATCTTTACTTATCCAATATATTAAAAATATCTATCCAACATTACTTTTCTAATATGGAAAACCAAAGAGATAAAATATCACTGTGTCTATTTTTACCAAATATTATTCATCCCACAACATTTAAATGACTTGAGTAAATAATAAGAGTGATACTGTAAAATTACCCTTATATTCATTGTGTCTTAAAGGGATGTGTCAAATCAAGTAAAGATAAACAAAGGAAGTACAAATGCTTTGAACCAAAATAGTCAGATCTCATCTCTTTTTCTACTGTAATAAATCTAATGGCACAAAGTCATTTTCGTTTACAAGTATATCTCAACTCTTTCTCCTATCTCTTGCTTCCAGTTCCAGGTAATAATTTAGTCGCGCCCCGTATCTACAACAAACCAAGATATATCTAAAGTATTGAATAAATCAACAACACATGTAGAAAAAGATGCACGATGTTCAGTTTCCCCAACTGCTACAATATACTCAAAACTAAAACCAAATGCTAATCACAGAACATTGCTCAGATACTGAAAGTTCACCAATGTACAGTAGTTACACTTCTTAAGCTGAAAGGTATCATAGTCAAATATTAATTCTCCAGGTAGCGTCCGGCTTGCTGCTTCCTGTTCTCAGCCAGAATATAAGATTAAAAAAACACAGAACACGCACAAGATGTTACATCAGCAATTTTTTTATATATAAATCCATTCTTCTCTTTCTAATATATATATATATATATATTATCTCACAATTTGATATACTGAATACGACTAAAAGAATAATATTTGTATGTATTAGTTGTAGTTATTTTTTAAGTTAAAAGCACTCATCTCACCTTTATATAAGATCAAGTACTTCAACACTCTTACCCCTCCACATTTCTTAGAAAACATTCTCTAGAATTTCTGATAATAGAACTACAATAGATATTTTTTGTTTCCTACTTACACGAGCCCATATCCTTGGCTTTTCTATCAATTTCTAATTTTCTGATTTTCCTCCCCATATTATAGAGCGAAATTCCGTTATGGTCCAATTCTGATCGGTAACAAATACCGGGATTTTGCAATATTTGATTGATCAAAATTATATATATTCAATTGACTATAGAAGTTCCCAGGGAGACGGTTCACACAAAAACCAGATAAACTAGGGTATGAATCTTAGAAGCAACTCTAAGGACCATACTTTATTGAATCTTTCTGGCAGCAGCTTGCAAAGAAGTTGGTAGTAACAGAGATATTCACCTGAGCACGGTAAATTAACTTTCTACATAAACCATACCTGCTCGAATTTCCTCAAAAAGAAGAAAATAATTCTTGTGTGTGTTTTCAACTATGTCCAAAAGTATTCAAATTAATGGCATGTGGAGTAAACTCTCCCACACCCTAGAAAACCACAAAAACACCTGCAAAGAATTAGCCGTCATCAATCATAGGCTAGTGAAGCAAATCCAGTACTATGAGACAAAAGCAACTCACTTGTCCATGTTTTATGTCATTTTCCTGCTCATCATTTTCCTGTCAAATTCAAAACCCTCACCCGTTCAATGTAAAAACTGGTGGAAGCCTTTCTCCCTTTCCATTTTGGTTGCTCTTACATTTGGTGTCAACTTCATATCAACCGTACTTAAAAGTATTCACATAAAGAATGCTCTAGACATGAACTGGATCGACCAAGGGCTGAGCATTCAAAAGATGGCTAACCTAGAGCGAACAGCAAAATTCGAAGCAGAATTCATGGACCATCAAAGGCGCTGCAACCACGTTGTCAAAGTTGAACCACACTCAACGGGTTCAGATACAGACACTTCAGCCCAGAAAGAGAACTATGTTCAATTGCACCATGTTAAAAGTCGTGTTGATTACTCATATACTGATACAGATGCAGAAAGTTCAGTCAGTACAATTGAGGATTTGCCTAGAACATACTCAACCCTGCAGCAACAAGACGTGGATAGCATTACTGTCTTTCAACAGTATGCAAAAGTTGGAACAACTGTTTCCTTCTTGCTAGCCTACACAGTTCTGGTATTGTATGGATGCCGCTCTTCTGTTTGTGATGGTAACGCATAGTTGGACACACAAGTGAACTGGTAAAGCTCCCGTTAATTCCTGAATTATTAACAAATACTCGAAATAATTAGAGCCACAAGGATTATCCTCACCACCATACATCTAGAGCTTCTTGATATGTGTTTGTGTGTGTGGGTTTTTTTTCCAATTGAACTTATCCAATGCTAAAAGATAATAAAACCACGCAATAAATGGAACCTCTGTATATATGCTAACAAATATAAAGAGTCTAGTAATTAGGTTAACAAAAATGTACTCCCTCTGTTCCACAGTTGATACTTACTATTTAGAATAAAAAATTGAATGGTTGAATGGAAAAGTGCTACTGGGGGTTTTATATGAAATGGAGAAGTTGTTACCGGGGTGTTATGTGAAACGGAAAAGTGCTGCCCTTAAATCTTATCTAGCCAAGTAGCTGCTTCATATTAAGCCATAAGTGCTTGGTCATCTTAACGACACCAAATGTTTAAGTTGGTGGTTATGATTCAGCTACTTGAAATCTTCATGCTCTCGGCACAAGTCAAGAACTTTCATTCTCATAAACTGGGTTAAAAAGAATAAAATAATATCAATATCAATATTATAGTGAGGAAAGCTCATATTATCTATGAACTGCAGATTTACAGAAAGGGACGATTGCCAGATCAAAGGTTTTTACGTTGCCTATCATCTGAAGAGTTGTCAGTGGGTGCACTGTTCTCAGCATGAACAAATGTTTGAATAGTTTTAGATTCCTTAAGTTTTGATATTGTATTTACATAGATCTAATAGCTTGTACAACCACTTGAAAGTTTGGGATGCATTTCAGAACACAGACATGAATGTAAATATTGTTGGCTATCGCGCAGAAAGATTGTCAGTATTTTGATGATCTCGGGATTTTCGCAGATATGTAACATGAGATAAAATATGCTTCAACAAGCAGTCAAATTTGATTAACAGATGGATATTAAATATGCTCCAACACAGAGTCAGAATAGATAGAAATGAGGGATCAAGTATACAAAGCTATACACTTTCTTAATCAAAAAAAAAAAAAAAAAAAGTACAGAAAAACTGAAGGACATTATTCAATTTTTTCCTTTCCTCCCCTTTTTTTTTTTCTCTCTTGGGTCTTGAGGAGGAGGAAAGAAATACATAGTAATTTTAGCACATAAGAGTCTATAACAATGGCTGCTAGGGAGTGATAATCACTACTGCATTTCAGCAACAACCATTTAACGTTCCTATTAAGTGCTCACACTTCCAACATATAGCTAAAATTCTCTGACACTTCTCAACAACATCCATTTATGTCTAAATATTCTTGATTTCAAGTCAGACACACACATTAAATTAAGCGGAAGAGAGTATTTGGAAGGTAATGCCAAAGAATTTGTGACCAATTAACAGATGCAGACAAAATATTACCTCCATTAGGCATGGATTCCCCCAGTCAGGAGATAAAAAGAATAACTGTAGCTGAAAATGGAAGGATCCAATAGTCTCATAGACCACCAATTAGTGTATCAGTAGGAGAACAACACACGTCAACAGAAGAAAAGTGTGTGCACCGCTTCCTGCAAAATGAACATGAGACCGTGTGAAATTCAGCTAGTGTACCATTAGAAGATATTTGCAGAAATGAGTGAGTCCTATTGAGGAAAATGCAGCATCAGGTACAGTACAGTGAAAAGAGACGTGTGCAAGGATTCTTTTGATGAGCTAGTAGAAGGAGAAAACATATTAATAGCTCATTGTGAATTGAAACCATTATTTAAAAAATAAATGCAAATTTGAATCCATTAGACTTGTAAACAGCTGCAATATTCAATGATTTTTTTTATAACCGTGTTGTCTGGGGCCATCTTGCACGCACCTCAATTCTACAAGGTCCCCACTACCTCCCACCAACACAGGTACCGGATAACTCTGTCGATCAAGGCTGGGACAAATGGTAAGAAACCACCTAGTGTTTTTTAAATTTCAGTAATTTTAATGTGTAACTAGAACATACAGAAGAAATAAGCAATCTGATACACTAGTAATTTGAGAAATTCCAATCCTACATACAATACTTTCCTGTGCTATGTTTAGACAAATGTTTACATTTAGCAGGTGCCTTTTCTTAGATTTGATTAAGGGTGTCCAGCAAGTGATGTAGATGCACATATCTCCAAGGGTAAAGATGTGTGGTATTAACTGTTTTAGGCAGAACAAATGGAAACACTATTTTCACCTCAACATATTATTAAAATCCTGTGGTACCATAGAACTACTTGAAACAAAAAATAACTCAAAGTTATCCGAAGATTTTAGAGGCAAGATTGTGTATTTGTTTGCAGAAAATCACAATCACTAGAAGGGTCCCAACCAATCAACAGGGCTCAATAATATATTCCTTTCACTATTTTATCCTTGTTCTTATATTTTTGTTAAAAGATAAAAGGATGCTGGATGAGAATGGTTTTGAATCAACAAATATTGTGGTCGAATATATTTGTCCCATGGATTGCTAGGGTATTAGCAAGCAAGGGTAATGAAAATATTCCTTTTATTGTCGGAAGTACTCGGCTCTCATGAAAGAAATTGTTTTGTGTCAACATCAACCACTGGTGGTAAATGGTAATTGAAGGATTCTTGTGACATTGTCACCTATTTTATAATGCTCTTGTAACATTATCTCTAATCACTCACTACCTTAATAAAAACAAATCTTTAAGATGCCTCTCCATAATGCTACCCTGTATGACCAAGAAATTTGGTTGTCCTCCATTTCCTTTGTTGAGTTTCATAATTGTCAGCGATGATCAATCTCAATAAAATAGTCTACCTACTAAAAATCTTTAAATCCATTTGCTTTTATACAATAAGGCTTTACTAAAAACCTTAAGATCTCTGAACCCCAACACTCATCTACATGGTGATCTTCCACCTTCTAGTTTAAACAGTATTTCTTCACCTCCTCTCGTATTCCATAAGAATTTGCTTTATATCCTCTCCAGTCTCTTTTCCTCCCATGTTTCAAGATGTCATCGTTACAAATAGGTTGAGGGCAAGATATTGTACTCGAGGTCTATATCTTTTCTTGCTTTTCAGTAAGTATCTCGTTTTGCCATACTTTTACCCTCTTCTCAACTCTTTCAATAATGTGATTCGACATTACACAATCTTTCTAGGTTCGCACCCAATGAAAAACCTAAGTTGCATGAAGTGATTTAACCATTATTGAGGGTCTCGGAATATACTTTATATTTTCAAGCTCGTCTACTAGAATGTTATTCCTTCAATTTATTTTTAAGCCGGAGACCATCTAAATTCATATCAATACATGCCTCAAGCATGGAATCTGATCTACTTCAGTATCACATAGGACGGGTTTAAAATCAGCAAATAACGAAGTGGGACACTAGTACACTATCTTATGTCCATTCCTAGGTTTAGAACCCCTCAAATATCTGTCTATCAGTGCTCTATCTATCATTTTAAGTTATGCTTCCACCACAGAAATTGACCATTAAGAATAACAGATGATAAAAATATATATAAAATCACCGATTTTAAGTCAAGATCAGAAACTCAAAACCCAGTTTCAGCTCATGCTGAAATGGTGCTTCAGAAACATTCCAGCTTATGAATTCTATTGCTCACATAATTGCGGGCCGTAACATGAGTCAATCTGAGGAAGGCAATGATATGCCTAAAACAGAAGAGCAACTCACACGCTCATGATTGCAACAATGAAGGGACTAATACCTGAAGCTTTCAAATGACATATCAGTTCTTTCATTTCTTCTTGTATTTCTGATTTATGATGCTATGACTACTTATATACTTGAGATCAAATATGGACATTGTTTTTCTTACGCTCTAACATCATACACTGTTATACTTATTGTTTCTATTACACCTAGAGAGAGAAGAAATATTTTTACTTTGCCCCACCAGCTCCACATTTGCTTTTCTTACAATCTCTAACATCATACACTATTATACATATCGTTTCTATTTCACCTAGTGAAAGAAGAAATATTTTTACTATGCCCCTTTACCAGCTCAATAATGCAGGGCATATTTTGGTGTTACCAGAGAAAATTAGTAGCTTGTTGGAAGTGTGGAAATTACAGGAGGTTAAAAAGAGCTTAAAGCAATATGGAGAACTATTCCCAATTGCATAATGTGGACCTTATGGCTTGAAAGAAACATGGCATGCTTTGATGGGAAGAAGTTAAAGATTTCTAGAGTAAAAAATAAATGCATTAAAAACTGTACTTTTGGTGTTATAGCACTACTTTAGATATGATGGATAAGTATTTGACCTTTTTTGTTCTTACTAGGAGATAATATGCAGTATTGAATTATAGAGTTTGCTGTTAAGTGCTGTACCTTTTTCTGTACCATCTAGGTACTCTTTTAATAAAATCCGTACTTATCACAAAAAAACAAGGGAGATAAAAGGTAGATTCAACATACCCAAGCATGTCAGACAATGCACATAATATCAGGAGAATCTTCAAATTTAAAGAAGGAAGATTTGTTTTTACTCTCACAGAAGAGAGCTATTAATTGAGATGTGAAATAAGTACTAGACATGTTTAAGTCAACACAAGCAGCAAAAGAAATGAGAGGAGAGTAGATACTAGATAATTTGAAAGACTTGGACACATAATCCACAATGGAAATAGCCCCCAGTATGTTTTCTTCCAAGTCAGCTTCAATGAGCTTCAACTCATCCAAATCAAATGCTGGTCTTTACAGCTGAGCACAAGAAAAACAAAAGTTACAGACATCAAAAACAGCATTGAACAACACTCAAGTTGAAATTTGTTGCACTACTTCTACAAATCACTATCATTGGATGCACATATAGATATGTATGAGAGGAAAGATGAGAGAAAATAGTTCAACTTCTGCTTAAAATACGGATCCTATCATAAAAGCTTTCAACAGAAGCAATAACTTTCAGTCTCTTTGGGTTCAGGTCTGATGCAAAAAAAGAGATTTTAGACTTCTAAATGAGAGAGGAGTTGAAGCAACGAAAATTGAACATGCAAAAGAGTCACTTAACAAGAGATAAGATTTTTCAATCGCACAAGATCCTACTCCCAAGGAAGCCTCTATTGATCATTAGAATAAAAGCAAGAAAATGCAACCTGGAAAGAGAACCCCGAAAAGGTAGAAGCAGCAGTAAAGTGGCGATAGAGCAAGGTGCCCGGAAACCACTATTAGAAAAAATAAAAAGTGGCAATTGAGCAATGCAAATCGCAAATGCAATTTAGACGACAGTATGAGGCCAGTAGTGCTAATTGTAGCATCATCTGCGAGGAAAGTAGTGAAACTATCAAGCTCTATTTCTATTTGGATCATTGTCCAAAAAAATGAGTGGAAAAAGTCTTGCCATATTTTGAAAATGTTTCATTTGTCCCAACTAGATGACCAACAACATTTAGTATCAAAATTGTGTGGATTTGGTCACAGTAAGAATGCAAAGATTTTTTGGAGGTACACATGTGAGAAATATAGGAGAAAAATATTATTGAATTGTTGTGTCTACATTATTATATAAAGATCCTATTTATAGACACTACAATACAACTCTTTACCAAGTAGGATGCTATTTACTATTCCTATTCCTATTCTAAGTAGGATTGTATATACTTATTCCTATTATAACACTCCCCCTCAAGCTAGTGCATACAAATCATATGTACCTATAGCTAGTTACAAATGTAATTAATACGAGGACCGATGAGGGGCTTGGTGAGATATCTACAAGTTTATCACTCGACTTCACAAAATTGACCGTCAATCTCAATGTGCTTAGTCTTCTCATGAAATACTGGATTTGATGCATAATATAAGTCAATCTCAATATGCTTGGTCTTTTCATGAAATATTGAATTTGATGCATAATGTCCATAAAACACAGAGTGATAAAATAGCAGTGTTGAACTTCACAAACCAAGCTTGCAAAGACTGTTTCAGACCATAGAGTGACTTACGTAATCGACATACAAGGCTACTAAACTCCCCCTAAGTAACAAAATTAGGTGATTGCTACATATAGACTTCTTCACAATGCAGCGGTCACCGGAAAGTGCTCAAAATCTAGTATGAAGTATATGGTTCATGTTGGAATCAATAGACGAGTCGATATTAAACAAGAAAGTCACTGAAAAACTGGTCGGAACATGCTCATACGACGGAGTATTAGATTTGATGGTTGAAAGTAGTCACAATCTAAGAAATAAAATTATATGGGTAGGGTTGGAATGACGGCACGACCTAACTGGAAATTAGAAATTATATAGGAAAGGTCAAATTGACGGCATAATCCTAATGAAAAAGAGAAATAATATGGGTAGGGTAGGAATTATGGCACGGTCCTACTGAAAAAGAGAAATTATATGGGTAGGGTTGGAATGATGGCACAACCCTACACAAATCAGATTTGAGGAGTCACCGAAAAGACACACAATGGTATGCCTCTCAAATAAGAAAGCAGTTCAGAAAAAATCCACGGTACGACGCAAATTAACTATGAAAAGTAGTCCAGAGAGATGCACAGTGCTACGCAAATCAAAAATGAAAAAAAAAAGTAGTCACCGGAAGGATGGCACGGTGCTACACAAATTAAATATGAAAAGGCAGTCACCGAAAGGATGGCACGGTGCTACACAAATTAAATATTAAAAAGTAGTCATCGGAACGATGACACGGTGCTACGCAAATCAGATATGAAAAAGTAGTCACCGAAAAGATGGCACGGTGCTACACAAATTAGATATGAGAAAGTAGTCACCAAAACGATGGCATGGTGCTACATAAATTAAATATGAAAAAGTAGTCACCGAAAAGATGGCACGGTGCTACACAAATATACCGACGGATATGGGGTTGACACAAAACAGCCCTAGAAAGTCACCGAAAATTGACGCACGGTGACTTGTCTGACTGAGTTTTCTTCCGTTGAATATGGGGTTCATGCATATAATCATTAGCCAGACGGGCGGCATATATGGATAATAGCCACCCGCGTGTAGCGGAAGCTCTTTGATTCTATATCAAGTTCGTAGAGGCTCTAATACCATGTGAGAAATATAGGAGAAAAATATTATTGAATTGTTGTGTCTACATTATTATATAAAAACCCTATTTATAGACAATACAATTCTTCACCAAGTAGGATACTATTTATTATTCCTATTCTAAGTAGAATTGTATATACATATTCCTATTCTAACACACACTATTTACAGTGTAGTTGGATGTAACAAAATGCTAGAATCATTTCAAGACCAACTCACTATTGTCGTTATTTTGATGCAACCATAGCACTTTCTCATAGAGTCCATGCATTAAATTCAAACAAAAGCAAAAGATGTACACTTTCGGATTTCTTTTATTTTTCAATCAAACCAAACGAACAAAGAAAATACTCTTGTTTTGCTATCCCCAAAAGGCAAAAACAAGTGTTTTCCCCTTGATCTCCCCTCTTCTCTTCCCTTCCTTTTACTTTCCCCAGTTTTCAAACAAATGATTACGTTCACAATAAACCAAAAAATGTTGATGACATGAACATGATGGAAGGGGATTTATTTGAAATTAATGGTCGACAACATCTACCAACCTCAGCTACTTTTGGACATAACCATATCAAATATAACTCTATCCATTGAACGGGTAAGGGAATGTAGACAAAGGGACGGTTCTTCATGTGATGGGTTAATCAAAATATATATTTTTGTAGTTAGTTCCCTTCTAAATAACCTTATATTATCTAGATTGACATACTTCTTTATGTAACATCTGAATTCAGTGGCTACATATGGTTGTTGCTGATTTACAGGGTGTTCGAGTCTAGGAAAATGTTTATATTAAGATGTCATATCTTTTAATGCATGAATAAAGCTTACAGAGAAGAAAAGAGACAACAAACTTTTATTTGGCATGACACAAAAAGGCCAGAAGCGACAGTATCACTACGTTTCTATGAAACTATTATCCTAAAGCCTTTGACAGGTAAAACCCAATACCGAATACAGGATGGAGGAAATTATCCTTATTCAAACATAATATGTATCCTTAATGACCAAACTGTAATGACTACTTGAACTAGACTAACAAGGTGAGAAAAAACGTTGGTGATAATCGAGAGAAAATGGATGGCCCAGTTTGCGCAATGACAAATCACATTGCCACTCTACAGTCAACCGAAAGGGACAAAAAGTTTTTATCACAATATTAACAAGAACAAAATGAACTAAGAAGCATGTTATGGCAATCAGTACCCAAGTTTCCAAGAACTAATTTATAGAAAGCAAGAAGATCTAGACACCGTTTGAACTGAAGTGATACTACTCTGCTGTTGGACATGGTTGTTCTCTAGGGATCGAAAATACATCACTCCCATAAGTAGTAAAAGAGGGAAAAACAAAATCAAATAAACTATAAGAAAATAAGTACCAAGAGCCTGGAGATTCTGCATCTCATGATTGTCACACCTTGCCTTCCGCTGTATTCTCGGCCTAGAAAACCACATCCCCTAAGCCATGTCATCATGTCAATCATCAGAAGTCAATCAACTCATGCCAGACTCTTAGAATGAAAAAGTGACCAGTAAGAGCAAGTTAAATTAAATCCTTGAAATAGGTATATTATCAAATTTACCAATTCATGCAGCCAATCATGCTAAGCATAATCCAGCTAATAAAAGTTAATCCAGAAAGTGCAATAACATACATATGAAGGTTCAATAACATGAAGATGAAGAAAAGGAGGCCATTACTTTAATAAGCTCAGACCCTAATTCCTATCAAATGTCCACATGATGGAGAGTGATCTTTCCTAAGAGCAACAAGTAGGTAACTTTGTTCTGAAATTTTGTGAACTTAATAAGAGTTCTTTTCTTTTCAATGAGGTCTGTGTGACGCTTGTTATTTCGATCAAGAAGCAAGTACAACATCACGCATATGCCCAAGGATGGAATATACAGAACTGTCCTTTCTAGATTTATCGCACACCCGACCAATATCGTTTTGAAATTTCAGTCCAGCTGATCGGGTCTCTAGTCGATGTCCACCTTGCTAGATTCCTCATTCCTAAGCTTCCGATTCCCACTTCCCCCAGCTCTAGTTCAACAAGCCTGAATCTTGTGTGATGCAAATATCATCCATATATAAACCACCCTAATCGTTTTGTACAAGTTACAAATGGAGCAAAAGACTAATCAAATACGAGAAAAAATAAAGGAAGGGAACTATGTAGTTTTAAGTCAATTCTTTTATAAGGAATATTTAAATCCTTTTTTCTTTGCAATCTTCTTGATAAAACATTAATAGTTGCATTGCCCCGGCCCATGCGCCAGGGAGACAAAAGGTTGTCTTATTTACAAAGAGGAAGACAATATCAGAGACAGGAAGAAGCATTTATATGTAGACTGATAGTATAAAAAACTATGGAGTACTAAAATCCCTTACCAACAGGAAAAAATTTACACCTTTCATTCAGTAAGGAAAAATAAATAAATGAAAAAAGGGTCCCATCTTTTCTTCTTCTTCTCTTTTTATTTTTTAAAGAAATGCTTGCTCTAAAATACAAAAAAGGATCCCATCTAAAACACAAGAATCGCTTGCTCTAAGCAAACGAAGTAAACATTTATTGCACCTCCTAATCATTTATATCATTTTTCTCCCACATCACTTTGGGTCTCCATATCTCTTTAACTCTTGGTGAGTTAATTCCTGCATCTTCCACAGTTCCACAGAAACGAAAATTCAAGATTGAGTCTTTTGTGTGGCAACCTCATAAGTTCTACTTACCCATTATCATTAGAGATTTTGAGAGAATTAAAGAACTAGAGAGAATTCAACTGAGGTACTTGATTTTTCCCTCAAGCTTATTGAGATTTATGCTAATTACACAGACAATAGCTTTGTTTGTAGGCTTAATTACATATCATTATCAAGGTATAATCACAGCAATCAATTTAAACCTAATAACTCAATCAATACAGATCAAATTAAGCATGTGCCAATTTAAAGCAATCCAATCCAGACAACAAAGAATAATCTTCAGCATGATTTTCAACACTGCACCTCAACCTAAAGCATAAAAGTCAGAGGCACCAAGCGAATTTAAGGTCCTCCAAGCCTAAGGGACTTGGTAAGAAAAACTAATAGTTGATCATTTGAGTTGATGAAGCTTGTGAGAATGCATCTGACTTCAATCTTACGGTGAATAAATCATTGGTGGAATAAATGACAATTTCACCTTTATGATGTGTTTTCATAAAAAAAATCAGGAATTAAAGATGAAGAGAAACTTGATTATAGCATCAGTTTCATCGGTTCAACACCAATAAAATTCACACCTACTATCAATATATCTTGTGCAATACATACCATAACATAATACGAATAATTTCACTTTATACAAAGTACATAGCCTTTAACTTTCAAAAGGTACAATTCTAGTCATAACCACAGCAATAAAACCTAACTAAATAAATCTAAGTCACTACATATCAATACTAATTTTCTACTAGAAACTCTTAAGCAATCTAGACATCAAATAATCTTCAAAAACCATCAGCACTGGCTATTTTAAGTCCCCCTCCCCTCCACCCCACACACATTAAAGTTGAGGTTCTAGTTACAAGGTGCTCAGGCAGGAATGATTTTCTCTTCACATGTATTTCATCCTAGTGTTATTTCATCTTATTTGGCAAAAGTTGTACCGATATGTAATTTTGTTAAAGCCGATATCAGATATCTTTTTCAGAAAAATCAGTCAATCAAAGAAGCATAATAGTTAACAAAAACAACAGGCAAATATCAGCTAACCAACATCTGCTTCCCATATAATTCAAATCCAATTCTACGCTAGTTATTCGGTTCCTTTAGCGAGCGATCCAGGAACCCATACCATAGCTTGCTCATTCTTTAGTGCAAATTAGACAACCGCAACCTATAAAACACATCCTGGTGCCTCAAAATATACCATCCACTCTAACCCAAAGTTAATCCATCTTTATCAAAAGTCCCACAATAATATTGAAAAGCTTCAAGCTTTCTCCCATACACAATCGGTTTTATGGTTACTTTATAGAACACAACAATTTTTCAAGTTTAATCAGCAGAAACCAAAAGGAAACCAATAGTCCATGTTAATTACTATCATACCAGAAAGTAGCTTTTGGATCCCATATGTTCCTCAGCTTTCAATTGTCATTCTTTAGCTACAAAACTCAAAACTCAATTGGTAAAATTGTTAAATTCATTCTTCATAAAGACTATCAAATTAGCTGAAGGTATTGAACAATAATGATTGATCCTTCTAAACATAAATTGAGTGATTAATTTAACCAAATTAATCTTTCATTCCCCTATCTTACCCTTTCCTCTCTTATTTCAAAACACACTATGCATGATATACAATTCCCATTCATTGTAAAACTAATTTTATATTACTGCATAATCACTAGCAATTTTACTATTCTGCTGTAAATTAATTTACTTTTTAATAAGGAAAATACACCAAACGTTGAATTCAATAATATCACAAAATATTACCTGATGACAGCGTAACAAAGAGCTAACCCAAACACAGCTAGATTTTCAGAAGATATTTATTATTAATAATGAGCCTAAGCAAATAACTCAATTACTGGAGCATGAAGAGATACTCACCAAAACCAGCAGAGATCAAGGAGTTGAGGACGGACTCCTTTAACAACAAGATCCGGACCTTCAACAGAGAGTGTTATCTTCACGTATCTAACGAAATCCTGGGAGATTAAGCTTCTCCGGACCTCAGCTCCGTCTGTAAATATGACGATCTCAGAGGGCATTCCATACTGATGATTCCGATTGAGGAATAGGGAAGCAGGAATCTCTGTACTGTCGTAAGGATCCACTCGAACTGTGTAGCTATACAGCGAGGTTGAGGCCCCCAGCATGCGAAGCTCCTTCATAGAGATCAACCATGGCGTTTCGTTTTGGATTCGCGCAATCCGATTTCCCATATTGGAGATTAGGATTTGGAGATGAAGATTCTGAAATGTGAGGAGAATGCAAATGCTCTGATACTACATAGTCCAGAGTCCAGTTCGAGTGGGTAATGCAAGCGTCAAGTGGATTTTGCCCTTTGGAAAACGAAAAAAACCTACTTTAAATTTGGACCCGTTTGACACGACGACAGTTTTTTTTTTTTTTTTTCCTTTTTTACCCTTCCTGAGGGTTTCCTCGTGCTTCACTCTTTTTTTGGGTTTTTCGGTGATCTGAACACGCAATTTTGAAAACCACGATAATTCTTTACTTTATTTTTGAAAAAAAAATAAAACAAAATATTTATTAGGTTGAATTTCTTATAAAAAAAAAAGATATTTAAAATAATAAGTGGTCATTACACACTTTTAGGTTTTAAAATAGAGCAACTTACAAATATGATTATAGCTTTTGGGTATTAGATTAGAATAGCTATAAGTATTACTACCCAAAATAACTATAGTTTCTGTCTAAATCTCGTTGTGTTCAAAATAGTCAATTTTCTTCTTCATAATCCTTATGCTTGGCTTCTTCTTTCAACGTCTTCTTCTCGTTTTTTTGGTTCGTTCATTTCTTCTGCTTCTACTTCTCCTCCTCCTTCTACTCCTTTTTTAAAAAATTCTACCTATTGTAAATGCGGATCATTTTGAACGAATAATATAATTGAAACTAGCCCAAAAAATCATCATCACTGTTTGGTCAAGAAAAAATCTATTTTTGCTTGCAGTTTCATTATATTTTAATTTTGAAAATTTTACTCTAAATTTTTATATCTTATTTTTTATTTTTCAAATATTATTTATAAAAGTATAATCATGCATAACTTTATCTTCAATGCTATTTTTTTAAATAAAAGTGAAAAAAAAATTATTTGTAATAATATAGTAAATTAGTAATGGTTCGTATATGAAATTTAAGAGTTAATATCTCAAAAGATCACCCAACTTTAAGAATTTATTTAGTAAAGTCACTGAACTTTATTTTATATCAATAAAATCATTCAACTTTAATAATTTATTTAGTTAAATCATTGAACTATGTTTTATATATAAATAAAATCATTCAATTTAGGCATTTGTATCCATCAAATCACTCAACTAATTTTATTATTAACAAAAATTGACTAGCAAAATAAATATGTAAATATTTAAGAATAAATTTAATTAGTGAAATAAATATTATAATATTATTATGCACTTAAAATTTAAATGGTATCTGGATGAACGTTACCCTACCAATAAATATTACTGATATTATCATAGGCTTAATGATTGCAACAAAAAAATTTATAAGACGTCAATTTTTTATAATTTAATGACCGCAACAGATTAATATTTGCAGAGTTGCAGTTATTAAGCCAACGTCTAAAAAAAAACGTCTATATCAATTTGTTATACAATAAAAAATCATGTATCCCACAATTATTTGTCATGACAATTTTTTTTTCTCTCTCTCTCTTTTTTTGGAAAAACCTCATCATAATACATATTAATTATATCCTAATATAATTTTTAAGTTTATTCATAAAAAAATCTTGATGATTTTGTTTAATTTTATTTATTTATGGAGTTCTTATTTACATGACATACAATTAATTTATTTATCTATGTTAATTTTTTTTAATGATAAATTGAATTGAGTGATTTTATTGATATAAATGTCTAAGTTGAGTGATTTTGTTGATATTAAACAAAGTTTAATGACTTTACTTGATAAATTCTTAAAGTTGAGTGACCTTTTGAGATATTGACTCGAAATTTAATCTATGATATTAGTCCTTATGTCCAATAATAATTGTCCACTATTGACTTGACATAACCCTTAAGAAACAATAAATAATAGGGGTAATATTGCTATATTATCCTTTGGCTTTATTAAATTTAATGTTTTGAAAAATGTGTTAGATGATAAATAATATTTAATAGCAAGGCAAATAGACACAAAAGGTAAATTATCTCTTGATTTTCTAAATTAGACAAATATTATTGAATTACTATTGTTGGACGGAAGAAATATGTGACTATCTATTATGAGATATTACTCTTTTAGAGCGATTTGATTTTATGTTGTAAATAAATTAAGGTAATTTTGTTAGTTTATAATCAAAGTCGCAGTTTGTTTTTTGGTTTTTCATTTCACGTAAGTGTTGTGCTGTTATTAATATAAATTAAGTTTTAAAAATGATAATTTGAAGAACTGCTTTAAGTTTCTATTTTTTATTTTTATTTTTTAAATTGTTAACTATTATTAAAATAATTACAGAAAATAAAATATTAATTTATTATTTAATTCTATTATATAATAATTTTAAAAAAAAATATTTTTATGATGTTGATATACTGTACTTTTTTCTCTGTTATTATATCTAGACTAGATGGGAATGGCCCGTGCCAACATTTTATTTGTGGTAACGAAGAATAGCAGTAAAGAACTTAAAAAGTTGCAACATAGCGATGTAAAAACTAAAATTGCATTAGATGAATGACGTAAGCAGAACGTGTAAAAATGGTTGAGCTATGATTGATACAGATCTTTCGGACTGTATTGTCTTCACAAAGTTTCCTGCCTTAGTCAATTTCTGCTTCTTCCAAGAAAGGTAAATTTGTATGTGCATTAATGTACACACCGGAAATAATTGAATTTACTTGTTGATTTGAAGAGAACATGGAGTAATTGAATAAGTCGTTCAACTTTTAAGTGTTGTGATGTTGCATCTTGCAATGCTAGCTGTCGTAGTTTGAATGACCATCTTAGAACAACTATTGGATGTGCTTTGCAGTTTGCCCTCTTTGCCAAGGCAAAAATGAATTAAAGACTATTTAAATATGAAGAACGGTGATAAAGTAAATAAAATTATCTATTGCATTGGCGAACTTTAGACTAATAAGCCTTAGAATATATTTCACCTTTTAGCTATTCGGCTTCTTCAACATATGGGAGACGCAGAGCGAAAGTGCTGCATCTATTCAAGAGACAGCAGAACTCGCCAGATCATTTAGAAAGAACCCAACCTTGTGCGGTTTGTTTTTATTCCATAAAAAAATATCAAGAAATTTGTCTGTAGGTCTTCTCAATTTGATTCCACAGTTGGTAGAAATAAATGGCCGAGAATTTCACATGTTAGCTACAACTTCATGTGAATTTTTTTGAATGTTTTTTGAAAAGTCAAAACAACATAGATTTAAAAAAGAAGAAGAAAATGATGAGATGAAGTCTAATATGTTTTTGACATATTTATCTCATTCATGTCCAGGTCTAACATGGCATTAGAGCTCTTTCACTTGGTCATGAGTTTGAAACTTAAAAGATCAATCTAATGAGCAGTATACAAAAAAGTAAAATTAGTTGTAGGCAAAGGTAATTTTAAAAAAAAAGTTATGTTTTCTTCCTACTTAAATATATGAATTGTTCTACCAACTACTTTTGAAACTCATATTTCAGTGATATTACTCCATATACTAGCTCTTGATGCATTATGAACAAAAAGAGGGCTCCAAGTATCTTTCACATATTTCACATTTCATCAGATTTTTCATTACCATCATTAAACTTTTATAGTCATTTAAATAATAAACTCTTATTATGCAATCTTAGATTTCTTATTCTCAAACCTCCAACCTTCTTGTGAATCATAACTTTTTTTTGTCATTTAATAACCTTTAGTTCTCTTGTATTACGCCTTTCCACATGAGGTCAGTTTTTATGGTATTCAAATTTTCCTCATATAACCATGCAACTTTAACAAAAACAATAAGTAGGTTGAAATTTTATCCAACACACTATTAACTGAAGTGAGTCTGCCATCGAAAGACATTTTTTATTTTTTCAAGAAGTCATCTTACTGAGACATCTATTTAATATCTCAGTCAGATACTTTTGTCATTCTTCTTTGCACCTCAAGAAAGTCCCAGATATAGGTAACTCTTTAACCTTTCATCTAATTCCTACATAAAATCTCTGAGGTAAATCCTCTATACAATGGTGTTGTACATAATACTCCTATTTAATTTGCTCATTTTAAGTGCTTTAGAATTTAAGGTCATTTTTTGTAGTGTTTGATTGCCAGAAAAGGCAAAAAAAAAAAATTAAATCTAAAAGTTGGGTATAACCAACTTATGACTTTTAGCTTTTAGCTTAGAGGTCACCTTGTAAAAGCAATCCAAACACCCTCTTAGCCAGATTCAACCTTGAACCAGTTACTATCCCAAAAGTTAGGAGAATTCCTCCATGAACATATCAACAAAATGACATTTGCATATAAAATATGAGAAATTGTACATGGTGC